CCGGCCGGCGGGAAGCAGGGTGGGGGGGCGGTGCAGGGAGGCTGGCCAGGGAAGATCAGGATGGGAAGTGGGGGGAGAACCGGCCAGCCGGGAAGGGAGGGAGGGGTGAGCAAATCGCTGGCGGGGAGCGGGACTGACCTGGCCACTAGCAGATCCCGGGGCGCTGCCCATCCCGGGCATCCCTCCTCCTCACACTCAACCAACTGAGGGCTCCCGGTGGCAATCGCGGCCCTGCCTCCCAGCTGGGACTCCCAGGTGCTCTCCCCATCCACGCGAGGCTTCTGTCTGGTGCGCAGCCAAAAAAATCAGAAAATACCGGACATTGCAGGTGTCCGGTATTGTCTGACATTTTTACATGACAGAAAGCACAAATACTGAAAAGTGACAAGGTCATAAAATAGATATAGGGTGGCCATAAACTCATCTCTGGCAGATGCAATACTACAAAGGATTAGTCTGCAAATAACGTTTCCGAGATTAAGATTTTCTGCATTTTCATGGCATGGCAAGAGTCCATGTATTTTGCCCTATAGCTAGTTTCCAATAGCACCCACTCTATATTTAAGGTTATTACAGTTAGTACCTGTGAAAACTAATGCTCAAAATCCAACTTCTTGTGTATAAGTGTCCAGAATACAAATCCACTATCACACTGGACCAGAGTTTAAATTGTGTGTGGAAGGGTAGCTGGATGTCACAGAACTGGCAAAAAAAAATCAAAGCGGGTTGCTGAGATGTCCTCCTAAGTACTGCCTTGCCAAATCTGTCACATCCTGATTATGACTCCACTGTTTTTTTCAGACACCTTTAAATACTGCATTTGACGCAACTAGTGACCTTATCAAATACCCTCATTACAAAGATTAAGTACTGGAGGAGAGAAGAGGGTGAAAAATCCCTCCTTCTAGGTGATTCTACCAAACAAATAAATAGGGTTGCCAAGAGTCCAGTTGTCAACCGAACACCCGGTTGAAAAGGGTTCCTTCTCAGATGGATGAAAATGAGCGAGCGAGCTTGGGGCCTCAAAGAAGGGGTGGAGCAAGGGTGTTAGGTCAAAAAGTTGGCAAACCTAAAGACGTATTAGTGAGTACATACCTATTAATCTCTTTGGAACTTCAACAGCATACAGGCAACTCCCACACTTACTACCTAATTGGTTCCTGGAGAACCGTCATAACTCGAGCCGTCATAGCTCGAACCTTATTTCCCATGGGTACAATGTTATAAATGGTGGTTCTGTTTCTGGAAATCCATTTCATACCCTAAAAATACCAAAATTGACTACGGAAATGGAGGAAAACTAAACTAAATAGTTCAAATAATGCACAAAAATAACTAAGGGTATGTCTACACTACAAAGTTAATTCGAACTAACAGCCGTGAGTTCGACTTAACTTTCATAGGCGCTACACATGCAAACCGCTAGTTCGAACTTAATTCGAACTAGTGGAGCGCTTAATTCGAACTAGGTAAACCTCATTCTACGAGGACTAACGCCTAGTTCGAATTAAGTAGTTCAAATTAAGGGCTGTGTAGCCACTTAATTCGAACTAGTGGGAGGGTAGCCCTCTACAGCTTTCCCTGGTGGCCACTCTGGGCACCACCAGGGAAACTCTTCTGCCCCCCTCCCGGCCCCGGAGCCCTTAAAGGGGCACGGGCTGGCTACGGTGCCCATGCCAGGTGCAAGCCTGCCAGCACCCAGCCAGCAGAC